CTGCAGACACTTGCTATCCAAAGCAGTGCTTGCTGCTATTAATAGTGAAATCAAAGTAGCAAGTACTTTACCTAGGAATGGGAGTCTGTAGGATTAGGATTGGAGCTGAGGTTGCAAACATTCATTCAATTTTGGAAGGACATTCAGGCAACCCAGGACTCACACTCCAAGTGTATACCATGTTCTGTAACTCCTGCTTTCTAGTTCTAACACTGCCTCTGACCAGCTGTATATTGTTGAATATGGGCCATCTTCAGTGGAAATGTATCTTCTGAAGAGTCCATGAAAATCAAAATTTTCCCTAAGATCTTACACTAAGCAGCAGAGAACATCCTTATAACATTAATATTTATGCTTCACTTGGTACATGTAACTGTGCTTACATCTTGAGGCATCTAATTTCAGGTTCCAGATGCAGTCAATATGGAACAGGTAGGTTCTTAACTTTTCATAGGTCATTACTAAGGGAGTCTGTTTTTCTAATTTAAGCTGCTAATTTAGATGCCTTAAATTCAGCTGTGTCCAAAATTATGCACTCAAGCAACTGAATACAAATAAATCAAAAGCCTCAGGCATCCGGTTCAAAGTGATAATTTGGGAAGGAACCATCACTGAAAGGAGCAGTAAGTCTAAAGGAACCAGAAAGCTGCACAAAATAGGTATCTATGATATTTCTGTCCAGGTTCCCTACTGTGCTCCAACCTTTTGTTGGTGAGCCAGATGAGAAGAGTCTCTCTGTGTTTAAGTCAAATCAAAGTCCGGAGTTTCACAATGTTTACTTTTTCAAAGGATCAAGCACATATTTTACATTGAAGAAATACATGATAAAAATATATATATGATAATGGAAATGGCAGAGGCATGAAATATCTGCTCAGTTAAAGCAACAGCATGTATTCTAAGTTTAGAGAAAGCAGAAATGCTGCCAAGACATTTGACCACAACCATTTTTATTCTCCATGTGAAATTCTAGTATTTATCTTCTCTTCTGCTTTTAGCCAATAAAACTCCACTCAGGTTTCTACCTGCTAAGACAACACAGATGCAGTAATTCTCAGCTTACCTGACCAAAGCTTATCTACATTAAAATGTTTTTATTTTGCAGTTGCAAAGTAATATTATTAGAAAATTCCCAGACACAATGTACAGTGTAGAACAGGTTTAACAAACTTCATTTTCAAACTGCAGAATTGTTGGATGCTACCACACTAAACTCAGAGTAGGTCTACTAAACTTTACCAGTAATATGAGTGTAACAACAAAAAACATCTGTCTGGTACTTTTATGCAAATAAATATCCATACTTTACCCCAAAACACAAAGCTCAGACAAAAATCTTTGCAAAAGATCTGTAGGAGTTCACATTTTTATCTTTGAGTGGTGTACAAATGTCTGTAGATGAAAAAGGAAGAAGCAGAAAGCACAGCAGCACAGTGTATGAGCAAAGGATTTTACTGCACTTTGTAAAGGGTATATACTATTCCATCACTGCTTCTGTCATGCTAATATGTTTTCACATGAATGCAACAAATGGGAACAAATGCAAGAAAGTATTAAACAGTATGTTTTATTGACATCTATTTTAACACAGACAGAAGATTAGGACATGCAATAAAAGCCACTCCACTTGTGAACCTAAGTTTTATTTGCAACCACACAAATCTTACTACAATGACTTTTTATTCCTCCAATTTTGACTTCAGTTTTTTGAGCACAGCTCTAAGCCAAATATATGCTAAGCCACTGGGGAAGCCATACATGGTCAAACTGCTACCACAAGTCTGTGCTGCATGGAAAATTAGTCTATATCTGTGTACGTTGATAGATGCATGCAACAGCAGTTGAACATATGTACTATGTCCTTGTCAGGAACATGTCAACTCTCCAAACTGTTACCAAACTAGTTTTCCCAAACAAGGGTAAATCTCAACACTTCTTACTTAAACTAGAATTTTCAACACTTACTTAAACTAGAATTAAATTAAAAGCACCTGAGCAGAGATCCTTCTGCATGGCAAATGAAAGCATGCTCTGAGAAAACACTTCAAATGTACCATGTCAGAAGAAGTACACGTAGAGAATTCTGGAGCTGGTTATGGAGGAATTTCTATAGCAGCTCTCTGATTTGGTGCTTATTGAGCTACGCCAGTGGGTGAGGATAACCAACTGTATATGCACTTACAGGAGTAGTGCCATGGCTTATCAAACCCTCACACATAGATAATAATGGTCAAGCATTGCCAACGCATTCTTTCAGCGACTCTGTTGAAGTTCAAAGACTATATGGTTGAATCTTTGCTCTTTACTGCTGCAAAGATTCACCAACATGGAACTGAGATTAAAAGCACCACTTCAATTTGTTTTGAAATAATGGGAATGTAATGAAAGGGCCAACCTTCACCTCTCAAAACTAGGAAAAAAGGTTTATGGGAATGTCTTAAACACAAAGCTGACATGCGTCATCTTTCTCTGACTCAAGACACTATCTGGTTGATGTTCAGAAGACTTCCTTATTTGTCTGGAATTTCCTGATATAGGGCAGCATGGTCAGAGCCACTCTGCAGGGACAACAACCAGGCTGCCATGCATTAAGACCACCTGGGACATACCCATAGCTCTGCATAGCTGGGTCAAATATGACCTGTGACCAAAATATGGTCACGCAGCCCCTCATGGCCTCAGGACCCAGCTTCCTCAAGGATGCAAGTCCTCATCCCAGATGCAGGGCTTTGAGTTTGTCTTGGCCAAGCGTCCTGAGATTCCCATCTGCAGGTTGCCAGGATCCCTCTGAGTGGCTGCCCTGAGAGCAAGTTACGTGTTTCTCACCGTCCAGGAATGAGGTGGCTGCGGATGCACTGGGTCACTTCGTCAGGTCACTGATTTGGACACCCACAAATTATCTGGATAGGGCAGGATATTCCCAACCTATGGTATGTGCACAACTAGCGGTATACAAGTAACCTTTGAGAAGGCAACAGAAACACAGAAGTATAAATCCTGGCACAAAGCTGGCATGTCCTGATGCTGGTTTGGGGGGAAAAAAAAGCAAGTTTGGGAAGTCTTGATCTTTTAGTTGTTACAGGGCAGTGCATGAAAAGCCATGTCAGACTTAAAACATCATCTGCATATGCCCTAATGTGAACATGCACAACATAGCAAGACAGCATCCTAGAAACAAGATCACTGACCATTTGTTACTCATAATGGTAATCAACAGACATGGACTTTCCTGTCACAACCATTTAACTTAAGGAAAGACGAGCTCTTTCAGATCCAGTGTAGGAGTTTAAGAAGTTAGCTGCCTACAACCACATTGTGGTTTAACCCCAGCCAGCAGCTAAGTAACGCGCAGCTGCTTGCTCACCCCTTCCTCTCTAAGTAGAGCTAGCTGGGAATTTTTGGGATGAACGAATTCTCCATCACAAACTACTGCTGTGTTTTGCTTGAAAACAGGACACTGAACATGGATATATTCTCTTAACACTAGGGATGTACATCCTGAGACATTCTGCAGACAGGAAATGGAGAAGACAGGTCAGGATGTATATGCTTCTGTACACAAGTCTCGTTTCCACAACTAATTGCTTACACTTGACAAAATTCAAGTCAATCTAAAGGGGGTTTGAGTAAGCTTTTCCTGAATTTTCAAGTGATACCACAACAAAAGTCAACGTGCACTTTTGCCTCCTGTCTTGCCTCCCTTGCACAAACAGATCCCAATTGGACTAATCATCCTGAATGTCTCCTAATCGAACATTGGTTTTATTTTGCAATGTGCCTTCTTTTTGCAAAACTATTTTATCTTCAGGTTGCTGCAACTTGAAAAGATTCTAGCTCCATAAATTCCTTTTACTGTATGGATAGAAAAATCTGTCATCTTTATAACACTGTCCAGATGTTTGCATTGGACTAAAAAAATGTCATCTTTTTTGTTTCAATTTTTCTAAGTGTGAGCCAATAGAACATTGAAGCTGCTGGTCCGGGCATCCTGCAATTCAGCTGAACATGGCCAAATTGTTTATACATATTTCACATTTCGGAGGCTTTCTTCCCTACTACACAAACCAGACCAACTGTACGAACCGGGTCATTCCCTGAAGCCTGGAGAGCAGAGCATGGTAGCTTCAGAGATGTGCCAACAAATGGTATGTGCATGTACCAACTATTTCCATGCAGGTTCTGAGAAAGGACACTTGAGTAAGAAACCATTTTTTTTTACTGTTATTCAGACCAGAATGTTTCGTTCCTCACAGGAATGAATGCAGTCCGTCTGTCCCAAAGAGCAAGCTCCAGTTACTCTGCAATGGCCACTTGTGTTTCTTAGAAAGCTGAAGGACTGAATCAACAGAAAACAGACCGTGCTGGGGTAATTTTTTCTCTCATCTCCTTGTTTTTGCATGTGGTGTTGTGACTGCTGAGCAGATGTGCTATTAACAATATTGTATTTGGCTCTGGCAGCGGTGCTCACAGGAGCAAGCCGCGCATGCAAGGCTTTAGAGCGCTTCCCTCTCTGACAGACAAGCTTTTGTGGGGTTTTCCGTAGCAATTTAGGAGGTTGCCACCCCCAGCAACCCCTCCGGTTTATAAGGCACTATCTCAGGACTAAACATGTCACCATACATGTGACATGCATACCAGCAGCCAATACGCCGGGCTGCAAACCGGAGGGGCAGGGGGCAGCTGCTGCCCTGCCAAAACCAGAACACCTTCAGACACCGGACCCTCCTCACCTGCGAGCACACAGCCTGCTCTAAACCCCAAAAGCCCACTGGCGAGGGCTCCCATGTCCTACCACCGGGAGGAGCCGGGCTCCCTCAAGGGGCTGACAGGCTGCGAACCCACCTACCCTGACAGCCGCCATGACACCGCCCCCCCCCCCCCCTTCCTCTCACGGAGCCACCTGAGGCGAGAGGGAGGGGCTCGCAGCCGAGGGGGCGGAGCCGGGGCGGCCCGGCCCCACCGCGCAGGGGCGGTGCCGGTCACATGGTGCTGGCGGCGGCCCCGCCCCGCCCCGGCTCCGGCGGCGCGCTCGCGCAGGCGTTGCACCTGGCGCCCTCTTCGGGGCTCGCCGTCTCCAGGACAACCGGCCTCGCCGCGGCGCCTCTGCCATGGTGAGCCTGGGGCCCGGCCCGGCCCGGCCCGGCCCGCCGCGCCGCTCCCCTTCACCCTCTGCCGCCGCCGGGCTTTAGGGGGGCTGGCTCGGCCACTTGGGGTCCGGGGCGGGGAGCGGCGGCGAGGTGGGACGGGCAGGTGATGATAGGGCGGGTGGAGCCGCCGCCGTGGGGAGAGAGTTCTGTCGGGGACGTGTAGAGCGGCTGCCGGGCCGGGCGGCAGGCGGGCCCCTCAGCCCGAGGGGAGGGAGGGAGGCGGCCCGGCCAGGCGGAACGTCTGCGCTTGGCGGGCGGAGTAGACAGGGTACGGGTGTGCGTGAGCAGTGGCGGTGCGGATGTGGTGCTGGGCGGGCTGTGTCGTTCGCGGCTGTAGCGGTGGAGAGAGTGTGTGTGTGTGTCTGTAGCAGGTGGGGCTGCTGTAAGCACAGGCAGGGCGGGCACAGCCTGCGTGTCTGTGGTGAGGTGTGGCGAGTGCGTGTCCTCCCCGTGTAGCGCCGGAGCAGCCATGGTTGGAGTCCGGCTGTGTGCAGAGCGGGTCAGGTGTGGCAGGGGTGTGCTGTCCCGCTGTGTAGCACGGGAGGGGTAATGTGTATGGGTGTGTAAAGCGGCTGGGGCGTGACAGAGGTGCCTCGTCCCCCCGTTATGGAGTAGGGAGGAAGGTAACGTGTGTGTCGGTGCGCAGGGCAGTGTCACGCTGTGGGTGCATGCGGTGCTGTGCTGTATGCTTATGCATGTGCAGTAAGCCAGGGTGTGGCCTGGGATGTGTATGTATAAAAGATGTACAGTAGGTCATGAGCATAATATATAACATGTCTGCGTGTGTGTGCATCTGCTATGATTTCGTCTTCAGTTATGTCTGTGTGTTGTAGCAGAGATTTAACATTGCTTGCAGGGAAATGACATGGCATCCTATGTATCTAGCTGTGTTTGTATACTGCTGTCTGGTATGGGCTTCTGCCTCTGTGCGTATATATAGTGAATATTGGGTGTGGCATAATATGGGGATGTTTTTATAGGCACGTATTCTGTGGGTGTGGCAAGGATTATCTGTACTTTTTATATGCATGTAGCACACATAAGGGATGGTATTTTGTGTCTATAGAGTGCCGGTTGTTTCTATGTATAAGTATGCCTAGCTGTAATGCTTTAACGCACAGATGTGTTTATAATGGATTTGCGGGGGGTGTGTGGTGGGCATGAGGTTTGTTGCATCTGCATGTGGAGGTATAGTGTCATGTAGGTGTGGGGAGAGTGCAGCAAAGGAGGAAGAGGTTGGTTGAGGTTTGCTCTGTGGGTATAATACGCGGGGATGCGATACGGTATGTGTACACAGTGAGTGGCGGGAGAGAGGTGCATCATGGCGGTTGTGAGAGGAGATGGCAAGGTGTGTAAGGGGGAGCGAGTAGGAATGGACACGGCATGTTGGGAAAGGGCACTGGTATGATCGCTGTCTTCAGTGATGCCTTACTGCTTTGCAGTGATAGTTACAGTGGTAGATATAGGAAGAAGGCATAGTTGCTAGCCTCTCACACATAAAGAAAATCATTTTGTGCCTGTTTATGTGTGTAACAATAGTGGGTTTCGTGTGGCAAGTTCTAGGGAGGGAGCACTCAGCCTTGCAAAGCGATGGAAAGAAGGGGAGGCCATGAGGGGAGATGACGGGTGGCCGTGAGGGGAGAGGAGAGATGGCCATGAGGGGAGATCATGAAGGGAGAGGAGGGATGGCCATGAGGGAAGATCATGAAGGGAGAGGAGGGATGGCCATGAGGGGAGATCATGAAGGGAGAGGAGGGATGGCCATGAGGGAAGATCATGAGGGGAGAGGAGGGATGGCCATGAGGGAAGATCATGAAGGGAGAGGAGGGATGGCCATGAGGGGAGATCATGAAGGGAGAGGAGGGATGGCCATGAGGGGAGATCATGAAGGGAGAGGAGGGATGGCCATGAGGGAAGATCATGAGGGGAGAGGAGGGATGGCCATGAGGGAAGGTCATGAAGGGAGAGGAGGGATGGCCGTGAGGGAAGATCGTGAGGGGAGAGGAGGGGTGCCATGAAGGAAGGGGTGCCATGAGGGGAGATCACGAGGGGAGAGGAGGGGTGCCATGAGGGGAGAGAAGGGGTGCCATGAGGGGAGATTGTGAGGGGAAAGGAGGGGTGCCATGAGGGAAGATCGTGAGGGGAAAGGAGGGGTGGCCATGAGGGAAGATCATGAAGGCAGAGGAGCAACGGCCATGAGGGGAGATCATGAGGGGAAAGGAGGGGTGCCATGAGGGGAGATCGTGAAGGGAGGGGAGGGGTGGCCATGAGGGAAGTTCATGAGGGGAGAGAAGGGGTGCCATGAGGGGAGATCGTGAGGGGAAAGGAGGGAGCGCCATAGCGAAGGTCGTGAGGGGAGAGAAGAGGTGGCCCTCAGGGGAGAGCAAGGTCATCTGTGGGGGTGTGAAGGGCAGCCATGGGGGCTAGTGGCAACAGCTTTACAAGTGTGGGCCACTGCGAGAGGTGGAGGTTATGAGGGGCAGCTGTAAGGGGAGATCAGTTTGCCCATATTGGCATGGTTTAGTGGTGGGCTTGGTAGTCCTGAGGTAACGGTTGGACTTGGTGATCTTAAAAGTCCTTTTCAGTCTAGTTGGTTCTATGAGTCTATGGAGCATATCCCTGTGGTGGTGTAACTTTTCTTCCTTGCATAAAGGCTTCTTTGTGCTCCTTCTCTTTAATTCTGAGATGTGATTTGTTGCTACATGGAGGAGTAAGCAGTGAATGAGGCTGTGGATGGTATAATACTGGTGATTATGATGTTACTTAATGACATGTCCTTCTTCACATTAGTATTCCATCACATGTCTTACTCCACATCCGAGAATATACAGTACCTTAAAAGTCAATTGAATAAAATGGATTTATGTCATGTTCTAAACTTAGGACAATTGCAGACTGAAAAACAGCAAACAAAATATTTGTAAACTGTTTCACAATAGAAGTAAATATTTTCCATTGACCAAACTCCAGGTATGGAGTTTTCCTGCGTGGTCCATTTTGGCATTCCTGATTAGAAACCTGTAGCAATCTAAACTCAGCAGACATAGAATCTGCAAAGAGCACTGAATTGTTGTTGGAACAACACAGGTAAAATTGCAGAAATTATGCTGGATAAGCCTTACTGCTGTGCAGGTTCTTGTATTGGGCAGCTCCTTAGTTGCACATCACAGGTGATAAGAAAAGGATGAAATAGCATCACTTTAAAAGTCTTTTCATATTTTCATATATTAAATTCAGTGAATACTTATACTTGAATTGCTCTGTTACAGAGTTAGTCCTGTTTCGATTGCTCTTTCCCTCTTAATTCCTTATAGCTGCATAGTTTAAAATTCAAGAAGTATGAGGAAGGGATTAATTTTGGCCAGTTAACACCAGCCCTTTTAGTATAGGGAATGCACATGGTCCTAGAAATCAGAAGGTCCATCAGCTTATTGCTTGTTTATTTTGACAATGAATATTTAGTCATCTCAGTTAAAATGAGGGTTAACACTGGGCTAGCAGATGTGGAAAGTTTGAAAGTCAGATTTTCACTGGAGCATGGCAACTATTTTTAGGTTAGTGTAGAAAAATAGTACTAATCTGGCACTGTGACAGTATTGATCTGAATGCCAACAGAAAGCTGCACAGGGGCAGTACTTCAGCTGTTTTGTCAATGAAGAAATCAGAATAACTGCACTAATTTAATATTAATTGTTATCAACTTCTGTAAGAGTTCTGGTAGTGTTTCTGCTGAATCAGAAATACACATACATGGCATATGCTAAGTAGGACAAAACCAGATGATGTTGTGACACCAAAAAGTTCTTCCTTGCAGTTCAGACAGTAGCCTCAAGATAGGTTAGGCGAGCCGCAACATTCACTTGCATTCTTTCTAATAACCTTTTTAGGAAGATGATCCTCTATTGATTTCTTTGGGTTTGTTTTGGTGTTGTTTTTTTTTTAACCTCTTTATGTTTTAGCACAATGCAAAGACTGTTACAGTTTCTGATTGTACTTGAGCTATGTATTTTGGGTGACTTGATTGGAATGCAATAGGGCTGGAGTCCAGCTGTCTGAGCTTTTACAAAACAGCTTTCCCACTTGAACTTTTAACAGAGGGTGGGATATTCTAATAGTAAAGCTTCCAAATGGGAAGATTGTAAACAGAGTAACTTCTAAATGTCGAGTTAGGTTTGCATTGTTAAAAATGCAGGAAATCTTTATCCACTGTTACAACAGAAAAAGGTACCTTAAGGCATTGAAAGAGTATAACGATGAACTTAAAATTCACAGCATGCTGGTATCTGCTCTGTCAATTCCGTGTTTATTTTTCAGGATCAAGAAATTAAGTGTATGTCTACCAAAGTTTAAACTAGTTGTTCTTTAGTTTGAAGGGTTTTTTTCCTAGTAGCTTCTAGAGATCAAACTTCTCAGACTGATTTTTTGAAAGAATTAACTGTGCTATGAATGTCTCTAAATCTGTGTATGTGTATAGCCCGATTCTACAAGACTGCATGAAACCAGGTGTCTTATACTTATGATGAGATTGACATTAATTTGAGTACGTTCCCTGTGAACCATGTTGTGGTGGAAGCTGCCTTACCTTCTATTTCAGTATGTCTTGTGTAGAGTCTCAGAGTTGCTTGAATGGTCAAAAGTAAGTTCCTTGCTCCCGTGTTTTGAACTGAGGCTCTTGCAAATTGCGTTTGAGTGTCTGATGCATAAGGAGGAATTTGTTATTTACCTGACCAAGAAAAAGAATGCACAGAATCTGTAGGATGCATAGTTTCTGCTGACTTCAATAACCTCTCTACTATGCTTACCAGTCCCCTGTCTCCACACTCCACCCCTACCCTCCAAAAAACCACTAGAACACAACCCCAAGCAAAACTACAGTATGAATGTAAGTGTCTAAGCCGGCTGAAATAATTTCTGTTGGGTACAGAGCGGTAATGGAAATGCAACAATAGTTGCATTGTTTAAAG